TTATATCCACACGATTTGGTGTGATATGGGTGTGATAATCATGTGATTATCATACAATTATCACATTATCGCTTATATCAACATGATTTTGTATGATTTGGGTGTGATAATCATGTGATTATCACACAATTATCACAAGGATTCCGTTTGGCTAGGGTTAACTTAAAAAATCGACTACCGATTTGGTGTGATATGGGTGTGATTTGGAGACGCATGAATGAAGGAGAAGAAGACGTGATCAATGAAGGAGAAGAAGACGTGGAAACGTGAAGATAAACATGGTTAATTAAAATAAAATAAAAATTATAAAAATTACTTAATTACATTACTGCTTTTATTAAATTATTTATATATAATAAAAGTTAATCTATTAATTAAAAAAGTTTGTGGTTATTGAGTTGTTCTCACTTCTCGTGTTTTCGTAAATCATAGGGGTTCTCGTTTGAACCTCCAACTATATATATATATATATATATATATGTGTGTGTGTGTGTGTGTGTGTGTTGTTTTGCTAATTTTTTGCATTTTGTCTTGTATTTTTTGTCTCTTTTTCAAGACTTTGAAAGATCGATCCACATACCTCCAAAGGGATGATGTACACGATTGAGAGCCTTTTCAGGATTAGTTGGAATCACATTTCAAAATGATCAATGATATCTAAAGTGTACAGATATGGTGTTTATATATTCTTTTTTGGTTGGAATATCATTTGTTTACTATGTACCATGTTATGTCATTGATATACAAAAATGTATTTGAATCCCGTCTATGTAGTCTTGTTCTTGATTGAGTTGGGTCAACACATCTTTAAAAGATCGTATGAGAATAGAAGTTAAGGTCGAAGTGTAAGAAGTGATCTAAATTAATGGGTGTGTAGAAAGTCATTTGATCCGTCTTAAACCAACCTATTCAATTAGAACCAATCGATCATAATTGGATTCTACATTCAAATCGGATCGGTTGGTTCTTGAATGATAGTCCAGCATCCAACCGATCAAATCCAATTACCATTCAGTTAATATTTAATTAATAACTATATATAATTATTAATATTTTATAATATTCTTTTAGTTGATATTTATGTGTATTGTTTTTTAATAACTTAAGAAAGGAAGTAAAAAGTTGGTTGAATTGCTGGATTGGTTTAGTATTGATCAAAAGATTGGACGAATCCGATCGAATTCAATGGATAACTAATAGTAACATCCAATGGATAGAACCGATCTGATTCAATCAAGTCAAATTCAGGAAAAAAACCGATTGTATGGGAAATACTTCAGAAAATTCTGTTAATTGAATTTGGATTGTATTTGATATCCAATATTAATCGGATCACATAACAACCATCAATTACAAAATAATACTGACACCTAAAAGCTTTTCCAACCTTGCTTCAGTCTAAGTTATCAAATTGATTTTTTAATAAATTCAAAAAGTATTGTAGCTTGTAGTTGAATGACATATGACATAACTTTGTGATAGAAAAATGTTTATCTATATCTATACTATCTTATTAAGCAAATTTAACAAAAATTTTAAAGTCTTAAAATACTAAATGACCAATATACACTTTTTTACTTTTTCACCTCTTTCTCTTCTCACATACATTAACTCTCTCACAACCGATTTTTTTAAATATAATTTTAAATTTACATTTTATACTCCTATAATTAGTTAATTAATTTACTTTACGTCTTTTACTTTTAAATGTTTTATTTTAAACATTTATCAAATTAACATACATCATCGTATATCAATTAAAATATGTTTAAAAAATACATTTTTATTTTAACAAGTTACACCATTATAATCGTCTCGTTAATACATTCGAAATGAGTCCAATATTGAATAATTTTTTACTTAATTGTATTATTGTATATTATATATACTGTAAAAAAATATTTTTAATATTTACGATTTATATTTTTATAGTTATTTATTTATATATATATATATATATACTATATATTTTGGGGTTAGGCTGTCCAAATTACACTGTATAATATATTATGAATTAATATGTTCTTGAGTTTTTTTGAAATATATATATATATATACATGTATTAATTCAATCTTAATATGAGTTTCTGAACAAGAAATGGGGTAAACAGTTGAAATTTCATTCTAAAACCCATCTTTTTTGGTCTTTTCATGGCTTATGATCTATCAAATTTATAATTTTCTTTATTGGTTTTGAGTGTTTATCTTAAAACTCAAGTTTCTTGGTTTTTTGCTCTTGGTGTAAATCAAACACATTTGTGGAGTCGTTTAAATATGTTGGATTTTAAATATATTGGAGTTTAAACTGTTATACAATTTTTTTATTCGATAGTCTGTAAAGACCAAGTGTAACCTATATCATCGTTAAATCTTATCTTATAAAACCAGTAGAACTTCAAAATCGTTCTCTGCATTGACGCAATCTCCGATACTATTTGTGGTGCACAATTTCGTGGAATGTAGGTAGTGGTTATGATCGATTTGCTAAAAAAAATCTTCTAATTATTAAGAACTCCAAAAACTTGGAGATCCAACTACAAGAAGCAAGCCCTACAGCCAATCCAACAGCAATAACGAAAATTCATGGCTCCCGCCGTATTGCGCGGGTACACAACTAGTTTATATTTATACATAAAACTCGATTTATTGACAAATTAATTCTCTTGCTTCTTAACTTGTGTATATTAACACTACCGGAGCACTAAATGATACTAATCATGCTCTCAAGCGTGAACTTGACACTCAATTTTACAACTTTGAATTTCACTTATACTAATTAATTTCTTATCTTTTTTTTTTAAGGGTGTCCGGGCCAAAGTTCAACTAATCCCCGGCAAATTTGGAGACTAAACATGGCCCCACTTAAATGTCGTCAACACTCCCCTCCCAGGGTTCGAACTTGGGTTCATGACTATGTCATGCCCAAGCCTTTACCACTAGGCTGGAAGGTCTTTGACTTAATTTCTTATCTTTCCATCTGGAGTGACACAGATTTTCCGTTGTTATAACTTGTCTAACTCTTTAGCTGTTAAATAATCAGTACCCTTTACTATATTTTTTACTTAATTCTATTTTTAGTTTATGTTATTTAAGAATTTTATACATATCTAATTTAATTTGATAATAACAAAATATTTGTATTTTTGGGACTATATATTAATAACCAAATATTAAGATCAGTGTAGTAATTTGTAGTAGTTTTTTTTAATTATAAATTTGACAAATAAAATAATTATTAGAGGATGTAAATAAAATACAGTTTTTTTATATTTATAAATTTGATAAATAAAATAATTATTAGAGGATGTAAATAAAATACTTTAATTATATTATATATATTTTTTAGTAAATAACTTCAAAGGTAGTTTTATAAATTTAATATGTTTTCTTATAAATAGATATTTTATAGGAAAATTAATTAAAATAGTTATTTTTAGACCAATGTATCTTATTAGGCTTAGGGGTTGTTTACCAAACACTTACCCGATAAGTGTTTACGGTAAAATTTAACACTATTATTTATTTACCGGGTAAGATTTTAGTCCACCAAAACAACATCGTATGCAACAATTTACCCAGTAAATGCTTACCGTGGTAAGAGTCGTCGCCTTCACTTACCGGGTAAGACTCTTAGTCCTTGTTTCGCTCTTACCGGGTAAGATTTTTGGTCCTTACCATATTCATCTTGTGAGGTAACGTAGCTTGTTAAGCACTTACCCGGATAAGTATTTGGTAAACGGCCCCTTAGTATGTGTTTAGTTTCAGGAAATTTTGGATTCATTTTTTAACCATTTCCTTTCTCATATTTCAAAATATCATTAGGTTTGTAAGTCATATTTTTTCAATTTATGAAAAGGTCAAAGTGTAACTCAAAAAAGATGTTCGTGAACATGGTACAAATATAAAAACTAAATTAAAGAACAAAAAATGACTAAGGTGACGTTTGTTTTTTAAAAGTTGTTAAAGTTTGAAGTCTGATTTTACTTCTGATTTATAAGAGGTGGTTCTGAAGTCTGAAATCTGAATCGATCAAACTAGTGCAAAAATATAAAAGATAAATAGTTTTATTTTTATTTTTTATAAAAGTATAAAAGATGAATAGTTTTTGCTAATAAATCTCTTCCAACCCCCAAAATATGAACCATGTGATAGAGGGCAGATTAGGATCAAGAGATATTAAGAGATACATTTACCACTTAAAATTTCAGAAGACATTTAGAGCTTTTAAGCTCTTATTTTATAAATAAAATAAGTGTTCTTAATATCCAAACATTTGAACGAATCAGGCTTCAGAGGTATTAAAAGGTAATTTTGAAAAAATAAACAAACCCAAAAAAATTAATACAAAATATGAAAATGAATATTTTTATTAATTTTATTTCGAATAATTAGAGCAAATATGTCAAACAAATTGCCATAAGGGAGGGTTTTTTTAGTAAATTCACAATTAGCACCCAAGAATTCGTTGACCAATACGTCTGACCAGGGGTATTTTTGGTATAGTATAAAAGACGACCAAAAGCAACCCAATAACCATCGACACCCAACCCTCGCCTCCCATACCATTCATTCGCCATCTGCTCCTCGACACTCTTGTTCTCCTCCTCTATATAACTCCCTTTCAAATCTTCTTCCATATATAACATCTCTTCTTTCAAATTCCCAAATTCCTCTGCTCCCTTTTCCATTTCAATCGGTTTCCTGTTCTCTGATCGACTTAATTTGAAATCCATCGTCAAATTCTGCGAAACCCTAACTCAAGATCTCACTTTCAATCAATTTCCCAACTGGGTGTCCAGATAGTTGGAGAAACAGTGCTTTCTTCTAGTCTGTATGTTTGCTGGTTTAATTTGTACATCAGCATATGTGAATTAAATAAAATTTGTTTTTGTGGAATTAAAATTTCTTCAAATGCGGTTTTAAGAATGTTGGTTTTTGTAGCCATGATCGTTTTTGGATGATTGGTTTAATTAGGAAAAAATTGAAATGGTGAAGGTATTGGATGATTTCAAATTGTTATTATTGATTGAATTGCAGAAGTAGTGAGGGGATAAGGAAGAGGAATTGATGGCGGATCAAGCGTTTGAAGGTGGGCAACCGGTTGATCTCACCAGGCATCCATCTGGAATTGTGCCTACTCTTCAGTAAGTCTCGATCCACCTTTGAAAGCGATTAGGTGTTTAATTTGGTGGGATGGAGTAGTGTCAGTCTTCGATTTAGGTAGCTGCTTGCTTCTTGTGACATAATTTCTGAAAACAGAAAATCTGCTGTTCTTCGGAAGATATTCAGAACAATGATTAAGATGTCAATGGGCTCATTTGATTCTTAATTTGGATTGATACATCATCCAGTTTGAGCAAGATGGCAAATAGGGTTATGATATCACAATGGGGCTCCAATTGGCAAACCAGAATTTAGGAAGCTTTTTTTCTCATATTTTGGAATAATATGGACATATTAATGGGTCGTTTACCAAACGCTTGCCTGGGAAGCGTTAAGCGCTTAACAAGTGACATTATCTTACGGGATGAACATGACAAAGACCATGAATTTTACTCGTAAGAGCGATGACAAGGTTCGAGAGTCTTACCTGGTAAGTGAGAGTGGCGACTCTTACCCGGTTAGCGCTTACCGGTTAAATTGTTGCATACAATGCCGTTTTGATGGACTAAAATCTTACCCAATAGGGTAAGTGGTGGTGTTGAATCGTACATATAAGTGCTTACCTAGTAAGTGTTTAGGTAAACGGCCTCTAAGTGAAAGCAAAAGCATGATATGATAATGGTCGTAGTATGCATTTATGAAATCATGAAGCAGCCTCTTTCTTTTTGGTTTGGCTTTAGAATTTCACACACACACACACACACACATATATATATATAGAGAGAGAGCAAATTTTATATACAAACCCAATAAATGTTACAAACCCGTGCAAACCAATCGAAATCTTACAATGACTTTGATTTTATGCTATGATTCATATTGTTTCATATGTTTTGTTCTTGTGTGTTTCTATGTGAAGTGTATATTGATGTTTCTTATTAACATTCAAAACAGTCCTGAAAGTCTCATATATGAAACCACATTGTATGTAAAAGAGACATGTTTCACATTTGTTGGTTCATATATGGAACAACACATGGAAACTGGTATATAGGTTTGTAACAAATATTGGGTTTGTATTTGATATTCCCTATATATAGATAGATTGATATATAGATAGATAGGGAATGGTTCAAACGAGAAAACCTTAAATATGCATTAAGCCGTCAACTATTTTAAAGAATGCATGAATTGAAAAAATATACTAGAACACGAGAATACCCTTTTACTAAATAAGTCAGTCACATTTAATACTATATTCCATCATATATGATACACATGTGATACTAAATAAGGACGCAGACGACCTTTGGTGCAACTCAAGCTGCGGGTCAAGTTGTCTGTACACCACTAGTCCCCCTCACATGTATTACCACGTGTACTAAGGGTGTTCTTGATGTAATACCATAATCTATCATCTGTGATGCTAAATCAGAGACGCAGATAACCTTTGGCGCAACCTATGTCGCAGGGCATATCGTCCGCACACCACCAGGTCTCCTCACGTGTATTATCACATGTGATAAGGGTGTTCTCGTATTTTCATAAAATTGAGGTGTTCTCATTTGAACCTCCACATATATATATATATATATATATATCATGTTGCATTGACAGCATATAGACGATTAATCATATATGATTAAACACACCCAACCAAGTGTAATCATATATGATATTGAAACTTCTCGCTTTCTCGCAAAATGTTTAGCTTCTCGTCTGAACCTTCCCCTATATGTTTGTGTGTGTGCACCCTCATTCTCAATTTCTTACAATCTCTGAATCTTGGTATCCTTGCATTGTGCACCCATATACTTATCGTTTACCTACCAATTTGCTTGAGCCAGAAGCTCTTGCACCCAATGATACAAATTCTCTTATGGTGTCGTCTAGTATATAAGTTACTTTAACTTTTTGTTGGTTGTCCCTATGATATTCTGAAGGAAAGTTGTATACTACTGTTGACTTATGTGGTGTAAATTTGGATGCTTGCTAGATGAATAGTGTTATAAGATTCAAAATATGCTCTTTAATTCTGTACAATGCTTTTATACTCGTAGAAACATAGTGTCTACTGTCAATCTGGACTGTAAATTGGATCTGAAGGCGATTGCATTGCAGGCTCGAAATGCAGAATACAACCCAAAGGTATGTTGTTTTCTGTTCTAAACTGTTTATCAAAAAGCATATTCAATCAAAGACATTCGATGATACTCTAATTATTGAGTTTTCAGTTCTACAATATAAGCTAATTCTGATTTCCAAACACCCCAAAAGAACAAATATATAAGCTAATTCTGATTTCCAAACACCCCAAAAGAACAAATGTAGTAATTAACAAGAACATCATGCCTAGTTTTGACATAAAGTTCACAGAAGAGAAGTAATTTAGAACAAAATCTAGAGAACCAAAACTCAGGAGTCAGGATTACAGAAGTCCTTCGAAAGTAGGACCACATACCATTAGCTAGAAAACTATTGATACTTTTTCCTTGACACCTATTAACTAAGGCCCTGTCAGGTTTCAGCCTTCTGTCTTTTAGATTTTGAACTCATTTTCTTTTTTGTCTGAAAATTTGCAACTTCTTAGTACCTCATGTCATCTTTGGATTGTTATTCTAAATATGATTCATGACATTTTATTTGAGTTGAGCCAACGAGACAATAACCATGAGAGCTTGGAACATATATGTTGCATTATATCATATAATTGGTTTAAGTTTCCTATTTCAGCACATTGCTTATGCATGTTTCATTGGTGAAGATATGATTTTAATACGATTTCCTTCTCTCTCCCGGAATGACATTCATGTACTGTTATTTTGTCTACTCCAGCGTTTTGCCGCTGTTATTATGAGGATAAGAGAACCAAAAACGACAGCACTGATTTTTGCTTCTGGGAAGATGGTAAGTTTTTCATTATAATTCTGAAACCCAGATTAATATATGTATGTGTATATATAGAGGATCATCACATTCACATATTCACATCTGTCAACAAAAGAAGTTTAACATTTTCGATGTTTAATGACGAAAAGCCATACAATTTGAGAATTTAACCTCTAAAATATTTGGTTAAAATGAACATAGCAATATGGGAATTTGTAGTTGGTTGATGTGGACGAATACGTATTTGTATCCTGTTGTATGGCTCCTTGTATCCAATGTATTTTATTACTTTCCTTTTCCCCCTGTGGGCTGTTATATAGTCTTTATATGGTATTTTGGTTATTCAGGTTTGTACAGGAGCAAAGAGTGAACAACAATCAAAATTAGCGGCACGAAAGGTACACGCCGCCACGTTAACCCCCTTGGCATGGACTGCAAGACTTTTTTATCTAAAAAAAGTAGAATCTTTACATAGAACTGTAAAAGGGTTCAAGGAATTATTATCAATATTATGTATTTACATCATTTTTGCGATTATGATTTATGAACATAAAAGAAGCTTATAGACTTGATTCTTGTCCAGTATGCTCGAATTATACAAAAACTTGGTTTCCCGGCAAAATTTAAGGTAAAACACTCTCTTTCTAGTGTATCATTCTTTTGATATATATGGTATATTCTTGTTATTTAATGAAATAGTTGTGTAAATGGTTGTAGGATTTCAAGATCCAGAACATAGTTGGATCATGTGATGTGAAATTTCCAATTAGACTTGAAGGGCTTGCATACTCTCATGGTGCTTTCTCAAGTGTAAGTTCTTATAAACAAATGCAGATGTAACGGAACCTAAAACTGAATAGGAACCCAGGAACCGCCCACAGCACGACATCTCATATTTATCAGGAATATGAACGTGTCTATCCTCATGAATGTTGTAACATATTCAAAATGAAGGTGTGCTTTATGATTATTAACACTAAATATCCATCCTGAGGAGGGACATGTGACACGCTGTGGGCGGTTCCTGGCTCGGTGTGTATTGCTCTTGTGGTAATGTTTACTATATCTTCTGTGGTTAACTTGTGATGCTTGCATATGGTGGGGTGCAGTACGAGCCGGAATTATTCCCTGGATTGATTTATCGGATGAAACAACCTAAAATCGTGTTGCTCATCTTTGTTTCTGGGAAAATTGTTCTTACCGGAGCTAAGGTAACATATTCATATCCTCTTGGTCGATGTGGGTATGTATCTATGTAAGTAATTTGTCCGGTATGCACATGTGTATACCATACAGATGAATGGTTATTATGATGTTCTTTTAACTTTTCATTTTTTTGTAGTTTTCCTCCGAACCTCACTCTATATATATGGTTATTTACTTCCGTTGTGTTTACTTACAGGTTAGAGAAGAGACATACACCGCCTTTGAGAATATATATCCTGTGCTAACCGAGTTCCGAAAGAACCAACAATGGTATGCTGTTCTTCCTACAAAATACTAAATTACAAAATCGTGTTCAAAGTCTAATCTGTTTCAATTATGTGCAGATTTCTAAACATCTGGGCATGCAGGAATATCATAAAATCAACGATGCCGCCTTTTTACAAATTGGCACAACATAGACGAGGCATCGGTGAGCCAACAAATAGAGAGTTCTGCTTATCTTTTTGCTAGAATAGGTTTTTTGAGTGTTTTGTTGGAGACAATTTTGGCAAGGATTGTTCCCCTGTAGCTTCAAAACAGTAACATAAATTTCAAAATTGAATTGATCGATCAACGAGCTCGTATATCCTTACGTAAAACATATATTTTCAGTCTTGATATACAATTATGCCACTCTACTCATTAATCAACATAGAACATAATATTGAAACATGAAACCAAAACAGAAAATGGTATGGAGAACCTGTTAGAAGCTAAAAAGACTACAGAAGAAACCAACCCATTTTGATTACGGACCCTCCTATTTTACATGCCCTTTTTGTGTACAATGATACCAAAAGGATGGATCCAAAGTTTGCTTTCTTTAGCAACCATTTGCAACGATCTTCTTCTCTGCAACTTCACCATTCTCTGCCACAATAACTTCATCTTTCTTCTTCTCAACAATGGTGGCTTTTTCTTCCCATGCTTGTTTCTGGAATTGCTGTTGCTTTGCCTTCTTCTTCTGAATTCTTTTCTGTCGTTCTTCGTAGAACTCGAAATCATCTAATATGCATTGCTTGCTACAATGGCCTTTGAAGATTTTAATCACTTGTAATCCCTGCTCTAACTTCACCTAAACAAAGATGCAACATATGTTGGGGTTTGTTTGTTGGCAGCTTAATGTGATTCATAACTTATTCGGTCATCTATACATGACTGCTTGGTGGTAGTGGCTTAATGATATAAAAAATGGCTTATTCAGTAAGCGTTTAGGGGGTAGCTTTATGCAGAAAGCCATGTTTTTTCAAAGCTGTCCCTCTCAATTAAAAAACATTCTTCTTTCCATCTATGAGAAAATCCTCCCAAGATAAAACTTCCGCAATCTATATAGACAGATTAATCCACACACACAATTTTATGAAAAACAACCAAACAGCCCGTTACTACCAACAATGGAATCAAACAAGATTCGAATATCAACTTAGTGTTAAAAATGAAATAATACCTCCTGGGTGTCCCTGCTATTGGTAACAGGCTTATTCTCGTTGTTTTCAAGAATAATGTGCTTCAACAAGCTATTAGGCACATCTTTTATGATATGCCACTTAACGGGGAAGCAACCGATCCACTTATCTTGTTGCCAGTATTCCAAGCTTTTGTTAGAATCAACCGGACCTATCATCTCAGCAACGCCAACAAACTGTCCGCTTGTATTCACCTGTGAAAGATAATGGAGCTTCGTGTGAATAAAGAAGCACCAGATACTCTAATAGGCAGCTTCAAATAAGAACATGTGTACCAACCATTCATGTGTTTATTCATGATGAATATACATGATATTCATGATAATTCAAGATATTCCTCATGAATAATACATGAAATAGTTGGTAATAGGAAGGCTTACTGAGAAGAAAAGGAAAACAGGACACGGTCCAGACTTCTGCTGAGACTCCTGGTATGCTGCATCAAGCTTCTTGTTTCCATTTTGTGTACTCGACCAAACATTATACTTGATGCTCTTATGAACATCATCCTCACTGTACGACTTGATAACGAAAAACTTAGCATCTGCATAAGTTTCAGGAAATTCCAGATGGTCGTATTGCTCTCTATCTGGAACTGCACACACCTCCTTCACTTCCGTCTCCTTCTCCACGCCATCAATTGCTGCAGAGGGTACATCCTGTCCCTTAACAGCTATAGTGACCCTTGTGGGAACCTTTTGGTTCTTTGTACTTCTGGCTCTAGGACCCCTGTTTAGCTCATTCAGACCATCTCCGCTTTCATTGCTATAACCAAAGAAACAGTTGCCTCTTCCTCTAGGCTTGTACTTGTTATCGACAGCCAACCAACCATTCCCGTTGTTTTGTGAACCATAAGTATTAGAACCATATCCATAACCAGATCCATAGGCATTCCGGTACTGCCCATATAACTTGTTTGGATACATTCTGTTCATATATCCACTTGCTGCATTTATGCCAGCCATTGGTCTTGGACTCTACAAACCCAATAAGTTACCATAATAGAACATGTTAGAATCTGAAAAAAAAAAACTCGAAAACCCTGGTTCACTACGATAAAATGGATGTATAGGACGCTAAAAATGTGACTAAAAATGTCTAAGACCTGACTTTACAAAACTATTGTGTCCTTTAAAGTGCTTAAATAAATTTATAGGACACTTTTGGACGTCTTAACAAATTCTTTAACACTTCAAAATAAATGTGCTAATAGCTTTTTGTTATAACCCTTTTGAGAAGGGTCTTATGAATGCATCTTTTTACATGACACTTCAAAATAATGGCATATTCAAAAATTAATAAGATGTTATATTTTAAGTGTCCTATAAAAACCTTGTTACGACACCTAAAGGTCGCCTTATAAAATTATTGCACCACGTTTATATATGAAGCATAATTGTCCAAAAATGCAATCTATTAGGACATTTAGACATTTTTGGGATCCAATAAACTCGATTTTGTTGGGGGTGGTTCAAAATAGATTTGGCATACCATGAGATGAGAATGAGGCCGAACATTCTGATTTTTGGACGCGAAACCGTTGGCATTTGATAAAGAAGCAGTATTGGTATTGTTTCTAGGCCGCCCGTCAGAATATATTGGACCGTCTAACCATGGGATATGAGAATGAACCCCATCAAAGCCATATCTTGGATCCTGAAACGCATTTTGGGCACCCCTACCATAGGATCCATTCGAGTTGAAAACTGAATTCTGAAAAGTTGCAGGTCTTACAGGAGCAGGACCAGTGTTTCCCTTCACAATTGAATTGGGATTTCCATTGGTGGTGTCCACAGACAAAGGTGGTTGGTTATCGGCGGCAGTTCTAGCCATCTCACTTTTAGGAGGAACGGCTGCAGAAGGGTAGGGCCTGCTAGTATGGGTCATCGGTTGGAAATACGGACTGGGATATTGGTAATGTTGAGCTCCATAGAGTTGACCATCATGACCAGCTGTTGGCACAGGTGAACCAGCCGGAGAATAAGGACCATAGGGTGCATAACCGTAACCAGGATACATAAGTGACCCGTTGTCCCCATAAACACCCTGCTAAGTAATATATATATAAATCAGCATAAAACACGCACAACTGTGGAAATCAAGATCAATTGAAATAAGTTCTTACATGAGACATGTCGACTCCATCCTGGTTTACATATCTTGAATAGTCATCCCAGTCATTACTAGCCCCATCGTAACCTAAAACAACAATATCAAGAAAATTTGCAATCAAATTCAACATATCAATGGTACAGTTTCTAGGCTTAAGGAGTCTAACTATGATCTGTTTTAATCAAATTACCTCCATAGAAATAAGCAGGGGAAGCATAACTGTTGGGAAAATAAGCCACTGTTGGGTCCATGAAATCTGGAATCAATGGGGTAAGCGATCTTTCAAAAGGTTGGCTCTGACCATTCCCATTATCAACAGAATCTGCAGAAGGCTGCAAATTACAAAAACCACATGATTAGTCTTCTGATAATGGTAATTAGTGATGTTAATTAACAAGAAAAATGATCACATATTACCACATGCGGCTAAGCCCTCACCTTCTTAGCAGACTCTGGAACTTCCGAAGACTTGGATTGAGAATCCAATGACAGATTCTTCAGCAAATCGGCAGCTTCTGTAGCAAAACAAGTAAAGGAAAGCCAATTCTTTCGTATAATTTGGTCGTCATTAACATATGAACCAAAAATAAATCTACCAAGATCAAGAGGGCTGGTGAATTGCAAATCAAGATCCATGAAATCCCCAATAATTAGCCAGTTAACGATCAATTGTTAGAGAAGATCTTAAACTCCAATTTTTTCTTACAAAAATTCAATCAAAACATCGAACGAACACAAGGTAGAAAAAAAACAAAGAAGACTTTTTATCATACAACGAAATCAGTCAAAACATCCAATCTCAGCAAAATTATCGCAATTAGTGATTTCAACACGCATCCAAATCACACAGCACACGGATCCATGAAATCAGATTTAAACTTCTCGAAAACAACCCAATTCAAATCAAGATACAGCAAAAACAGATCAGCAAAATAAAATCTTTGTAAACAGAGGATACGATCTGCAGGGGGAGCAACGGCGGCCATGATTGGAGATGATAGATTGATAGATCTTCAAAAACAGGATAGAAAACCCCAAAGTAATTGGGTTCTTGGAAGGGGATAGATAGAAACCCTAGGAGAGAGTGAAATGAGTTTCAGCCGCCAGAAAGAGCGAGGGTTTGGGTTTTTGAAGCAAGAGGTTTTGATCCATCTGAAAGTGGTGATTCAAATAGCACCACGCCCCTTCCACACACAATTTCATCCATCACCCATGTGGTTTTGAAGCTGGTGATTTTGACCCCTTTGGTTTTGAAGTTGGTGATTTTTGCCCCTATAATTTTGAAATTGATGATTTTGACCCCTATGGTTTAAAAATTGATGTATTTGCCCATCCTGAAGACTCACTCGCGGTCTCGATTTATGGATGGTGGTATTTCTTGTTGTCTTTCGTGTTAAGATCAACCTATATGGTTGGTTTATGATAGTGGCGGATCCAGAAAATTAATGGGGTGGTGACACGTTGGATGAGACTTGGGGGAGACAAGCATATGGCCATATGGGAGTAGGGGGGAAATCATGTAAGGCGAGGATAAAATAGAAAATTTAAGCTAGTCAGCAAACGTTTTTTATCTTTAACTGGGGGCTTTTTCCCCCAGTTCTTAAGAGCTAGATCCGCCCCTGGTAGTGGCGGATCTATAAATTTTTAAAATAGGGGGCACACTTAGGGGTGTAGTCGTGTAGAAAAATAGTTCAAAACCAAATAATTCATCCGGATGAAAACGGTTTTGAATTTTCCTTTTCGGCTTAAACGGTTCAGTTAACCGAATAAAGATAACTTATTCATGTCGATTTTCATATAACTTTCTACTAATTCATCGAGATGTATAATTTTTATATTTTATATTTCGAACAAAAATATCAATGTGTGCTGTAAATGAACTAATTAACAATCAGGGTATCAAGTGGAGCCCTTGCCTTGTTCTTGTTGGGAGCCTTGTCTTATTCTTGTTGGGTGCACGATAGCAAATTTTACCAAACAAATGTTTTATAGCCTTTAAAAAAATGGTGGGTTTGTTGGGGGCCTAGGACCCCTACCACTATGTATTGAATCTGCTGATGTATACATGTGTGTAAATATATGCGTATATATGTGTGTGTGTGTGTGTGCGCGCGCATGGGTGCTCTTAACACCAAATTTGAACCATCTTTGCTCATCTCCTTGTTTCTAAAGTGGTCGTTTGACATCAAAATACAATTGCAAACTGTGAAGTATATAGCTACGAAAAACTACATGCTTTAAAGATTTTCGTGTTAAAAGATTAATGCAAGCCACGTTTCAATAAAGTTTAACGGGTTTTGACGTGACGTAAAACGCTACCCATGTTTTGTAGATTAAAAAAAACAAGAAATAAGCCAGATGTTCTAATTTTACCCCAATTCCTTCATCACGTAATAACCCCGTCATTTTTTTTGCCTCCGTCAACAAGAATCCATATGAAACCATAACTACACCCTGCCTCTCGATCAGAAGCTCACGACTTGATGTCATCAAATGCATTTCACCGAAACAATCAGGAATCAAGACAATCGCTTTGATAACTCATTTATCATGTGCCATTCAAAATTCGTGAGTGCATATTATATGATTCACCAGTGATTTTCTATGCGGTTATATATATTATATATCCATCGTTAAGAACATGAATACCATAAAACAAATGAGTAATAAGGTAATACTGTTAAACGCCTATGCAAAAATGGCCGGGAAAAAACAATCACATTAAAATGAAAACACGATAGAGATAAAAGAAAAGGGTCCTCGCGTTGGACATAGTGGGAAATGCAGGGGTTCGGCATGCCCCTTGAGGTTTATTATTATTCTTGTTGCCCACTCGGGTTTTGAGATGTTCCCGAGAAGATCAGCATTACTGTAATTGTCATGTGACTTTCATCTCACACGGGTTATAAGTGGTAAAAGAAAGAAGAACAAGTAAAACGAAAACACCAATCCTTGTTTGTTTTATAGCTCAACCTTCGCCAGTTAGATATTCATTTATTTTATATGTTGAATTTAGTTAGATTTTAAGGTATGATATTGAACAAAAGAAAGTTTAAAACGCCCCATACTTTTAATAACTAATTCTATACAAGTATTTGTTTTGTCATATCTATATCTATACTATATTATAAAGCATTTGATAAAAACTCTTAAACCCATTCATCCTTAAACGATTTCATCTCTATCCGATTTCATCCCATATATGAATTTGTGTAACTAACTGCAGATAAACACAATTAAATACATGATAAACATCTCATTTTATCTATACTATATTATAAAACATTTGATAAAAACTCTTAAAAGTCTTAAAAACTCTTAAACTCATTCATCCTAAACGATTTCATCTCTATCCGATTTCATCCCATATCTGAATTCGTGTAACTAACTGCAGATAAACACAATTAAATACATGATAAACATCTCATTTTAAATATAAAAAATCTAAAATATAATTAGGATAATCATTGACTTCTAACAGAATACTTAATTATTATCTCTATAAAATGTTATATTATTAAACAAAAAATAAATTATTTCATTATTAAACTTAAATTAAATTAAAAAAAAAATAATCTATACTATATTATAAAGCATTTGACAAAAATTCTTAAAAACTATCTTTTATGTGTAAAGTACTATTTATTAATGCATCAAGATTACAAGTAGATTGTG